AATTTATATTTATTATATTTTTAATTTATATTTTAAGAAACAAATAAAAAAATTTATTTAACAATTTTAATTTTAAGTTAAAATCAAGTTTAAACTTCTACTTTTTATTTTAAAATAACAGTTTTTTTTTAAATTAAAAATTTTGAGATAGTTTGTTTATTTATTTGTTTATATTATACTTTAAAAAAATTAAATGATATCAATAAAATAATTAATTAAAATAAATAATAATAATATTATTATTAAATAAAAAATAATTATTAATTTAAAATAAACTCAAAACTAAAAAACAATAATTATTTTACGTCGGTAGAGTATATTACTGTAATAATAATTGAGAAGGAGTTTAATTTTCATGATTTTGCTATTTAAGAATCTAATTTTTGGTTTTTCAAATAAGTTTCGAACGAATTTTTATTATCAAATGAGCCTTTGGATGCCAATTGATGAGATGGCAAATCGCAATTGTTAAGAGGTTCTATATGCACCAATAATTACCCTTAAGTCAATCATGCTGCAGCAAATTATGTACCGTCCAGTCTTATCCGACAATAGGTCAACAAAACTCTCCAATCAAATATAGTGAAAATGTTTTTCCCACGTTATTTCATAAATTGAAAAGGGAAAACTTTACATTAAGTCTCATACTTATTTTAAATTATTATGATTATTATTTTATCTTAATTGTATAATGAAAAACAATCATTTCTCATTTTTTATCTCACTTTACCCGCATACTATGTGACCCGAATTCAAGATCTCTTACTTTTAACAGAAAAAGATAATCATTAAGGTATTTAGGTCGTTAATCATACTTATTTTAAATTATTGATTAAATCTTTAAATTTTTATTAAAATAAATAAATTTTTAAACTTATTGATTTAGATAATTTAATTCTTGTTTTTTTAATTTAATATTTATTTGTACTTTACCTACATAGATAAAATTAATACCAACTTTATAGATAATGACGTACCAATATCTTATCCATGTAAGTGACATATAAAGGAACGTTAAGTTTACAATAAAAAAATAAGTTAAATTACCTCAATCATCAAGTTTTAAAATTTATTTATTTTAATAAAGATTTAAAATTTAATAAAAAATGTACAATAAATTCAAAAACTTAATATAAAGTTTTGCCAATTAA